TTCAAAGATACTTTGGTGGGCAGGGGGCTAGGGGTATGGGTGCTGCTGATTAGGGATGGAATCATAGGAGTGTGGGAAAATGGTCCTCCTGGGCTGAGTCTGCTTCTGGGTAGGGGCCACAGGACTGGATGTGTTACGGGTCCAGGTAGGCCCATTCAATTGTTAGAAATGCAAAAGCCTGAAAAAACATCTCAAAAAGCCAATTTTTTTTTTTTTTTTTTTTTAAGATGGAATTTCACTCTTGTTGCCCAGGCTGGATTACAGTGGCACAGTCTTGGCTCACTGCAACCTCCATCTCCCAGGTTCAAGCAATTCTCCTGCCTCAGCCTCCCAGGTAGCTGGGGTTACAGGCATGTACCACCATGCCCGGCTGATTTTGTACTTTTAGAAGAGATGGGGTTTCTCCATGTTGCTCAGGCTGGTCTGGAACTCCTGACCTCAGGTGATCTGCCTGCCTCGGCCTCCCAAAGTGCTGGGATTACAGGTGTGAGCCACTGTGCCTGGACAAACACTCGGCCTGTTTTAAAAAGGCCAATTTTAAAAAACAACTATAGGGCCGGGCACAGTGGCTCAAGCCTGTAATCCCAGCACTTTCGAAGGCCGAGGTGGGTGGATCACGAAGTCAGGAGTTCGAGACCAGCCTGGCTAATATGGTGAATCCCTGTCTCTACTAAAAATACAAAAATTAGCCAGACGTGGTGGCACGTGCCTATAGTCCCAGCTACTCGGGAGGCTGAGGAAGGAGAATTGCTTGAACCTGGGAGGTGGAGGTTGCAGTGAGCTGAGTGCACTGCACTCTGGTCTGGGCGACAGAGCGAAACTCCATCTCAAAATAACAATAATAATAAAATAATCAAATCAAAAAACCCATAAACTACATTTCTCCCAAAGTCAGCAGCTTGGTCTATGTCCAGGAATGATCAGGGATAGCTTGGAGGTTAAAAACAAGATGGAGTCAATTATGTCGGACTAAAATTACTGTTATAATTTTGCAAAGGTGGTTTCAGAAGGTGGCACTGTCTTTGGAGCCAATAATGGGGAGGTAGTGCCTAGAGGCAGAATTGGGATTGGCTTGTCATTACTTGAGATTGTATTTTAGCTCTGGAGAGAAAGGTCTGAGTCTGGTTCTGGTGGGAATGTTGGGCTTCATTCCCTGGCAGGGGCAATTGGGACTTTGTGCAAGTTGGGAGTGTGAAATGAAGCTCTAAAGACGACCCCAAGCTCTCCAGAGGAGATGCACCTCTTGTGGCTGAAAGAGACACACAGATTAAGATGATGGGGAGCCAAGTGGCCATGGTCGGGCGAGGGAAGAGCAGTCATGCATTCCTCTTTCCAGGAGAGGGCAGCTCCAGACAAACACAACGTTTGCACCTCTGAGCTAAGATGGCTCCTGAAACCAGAGCCGAGACACATGGCTGGAAATCTCCTGCCAGCTGCCTGAAAGGGGCACCCTACAGAGACCACTGGCTTTGGGCTTAGAAACTACCCAACTGAGATGCAGTTATTTTCAACCAGTCAGGTCTGAACCAGTTTCAATCTTTCATTTGCATGTACAGACCATGTTGAGGTCTAGGGCAGGACCTTTCCCTAATGAAGCCAGGACCTCTTTTTGTCATTTGGACCTCAATTTTCGTCTTACACTGGAGCCTGTGTCTCCCCAGTCCATAGATTTTTTATTTATTTATTTTTATAGAAAATAAGGCCTTTAGGCCGGGCACAGTGGGTCATGCCTGTAATCCCAGCACTTTGGAAGGCTAAGGCAGGCAGATCACTTGAGCTAGATAATTCGAGACCAGTCTGGACAACATGGCAAAACCCCATTTCTACAAAAAATATAAAAATTAGCCTGGTTCGGTGGTCCATGCCTATAATCTCAGCTGCTCAGGAGGCTGAGGCTGGAGAATTGCTTGAGCTCAGGAGCAGAGGTTGCAGTGAACCAAGAACGCGCTGCTGCACTCCAGCCTAGGTGACAGTGTGAGACCTGGTCTCAAAAAAAGGAAAAAAAAAAAAAAACCTTTTTCTTTTTCTTTCACAGACCTCATGGTCTCTTGCTAAGAGGAGTGGATAATTTGTGTTTGGTCTCAAACAAAGGCCTTTGTACCCCACACAGAGTATTGAGGGCTCACAGTGTAGTCCCTCCACTCTCCAACCAGCTCCGGCTGCAAACCAAGGTTGGAGAGAAATAGGAGGGTGGCAGGTGGCAGTCCAGGCACAGTGGGGAGCCTGCTGTGGGGATTTAGATAGTTTGGATAGTCCCTGGTCATCTCATGGTGTCTCCTTAAAGGAACTAGCCTGCCCCTCTGCAGCCTCCCCTGTCCACGTGGAGTCCAGGTATGCAGAGCTTTCAGGTGAATAAAATATTCGCTTTCTTGAAAAGTGGGTTATAGTTCTTAGCTCAGATATGATGTGGCCAAAAGAAATTCCTATAGGAAGTTTCACTGGTGTTTCTATCAACTTGCAGTGTTCCATCTGGATCTTAGCTCTTCTGTCACTTCATGCCCTTGGTAACCCATCACTATAGTTGAAATGTCAGCTGTAGATGTGTTGATGTCCTCAAGAACAGGAGAAGCCACTTTGGGAGGCCGAATGGGTGAATCATTTGAGGTCAGGAGTTTGAGACCAGCCTGACCAACATGGTGAAACCCCGTCTCTACTAAAAATACCAAAAAAATTAGCTGGACGTGGTGGCTTGTGCCTGTAATCCCAGCTACTTGGTAGGCTGAAGCAGGAGGATTGCTTGAACCTGGGAAGTGTAGGTTGCAGTGACCCGAGGTCATGCCACTGCACTCCAGCCTGGGCAACAGAGCAAGACTCAGTCTCAAAAAAAAAAAAAAAGAATAGGAGAGGCTGAGTCTCATGGAGGAATATCTGCCTATTTGCATGTCCATTCTATAATTTTTTAAAAAGCCAAGTTGAGTTTTATAAATACCTAGACTCATAGAGGGAAGAAAAAGAAACAATTATGGTTTCTACAAAAGTTTATTTCTTTGTGCATTATATCCCATAGTCAAAATCTAATTGCAAAATCAAACACTTTACTCTCTGAAAAGATTAAGTACAATTGTGAAATTCTTACTGAGGTGTAATTGACAAAAATGGTGCTGTGATTTGTTTGTCCTCTCTGAAATCCATGCTGAAACTTAATCTGCAAAGTAACAGTATTAAGAGGTGGGTCCTTTAAAAGATAATTGGATCATGAAGTCTCTGCCTTCATGATTGTATTAATCCATTCCTAAATGAGTGAGTTAACGGCTGAGTAGGAATAATAGGGAGTGAATGATCACGAGACTGGTACTGTTATAAAAGCCTGGTTGGCTCTCTCTCCTGCAAACCTCTCCTCTCTCCTTGTGATGCTGTCCACCATGTTATGATGCAGGATGAGGCCTTACCAGAAGCCAACCAGCTGCAGCCCGTGGACTGTGGACTTCTCAGCCTCCAGCACTGTAAGAAATAAATTTCATTACATGGATGTATTACATGATGAAAAAAAAAAAGGTCGGTTGCAGTGGCTCATGCCTATAATTACTGCAGCCCTGACTCTCAGCCTCACGTGGTCTTCTCACTTCAGCCTCCTGAGTAGCTGGGACTACAGGTGCCCACCACCACACCAGCTAGTTGTTCTATTTTTTGTAGAGATGGGGTCTTGCTGTGTTGCCAGGGCTGGTCTCAAACTCCTGGGCTCAAGGGATCCTCCCTCCTCAACTTCCCAAAGTGCTGGGATTATAGGTATGAGACACCATGCCCCAACAGATAAACTTTAAGTAGTGATTTGGCATATAATAGGGACATTCCCCTTGATTCTTTTTTTTTTTTTTTGAGATGGAGTCTTGCTCTGTTGCCCAGGCTGGAGTGCAGTGGCACAATCTCTGCTCATTGCAAGCTCTGCCTTCTGGGTTCACACAATTCT